TACTGGCATATGCTGCCGCTAAATGAGAGAAAAGAGGAGCTGTTCTCCCTGTTTACTTCTTTCTTGAGCTATAAGAGTTAACAAGATAAACAGGTAGAACAGATAAACCTAGCTCTATTCCAATCTGCATAATGAACGCTTGAAAGAGGGAAGATCTGCTTCCTTACAAGCAAAAGAGGTATGCCCTCTAAGCAATAAAATCAGATTTGAAATAAACTGAAGGCCAGGGTGATAAATGCAGGGACCATCAGATAACTGGAGAGGGAAATGGGATGGGGAGAAAAGGATGAATCAAGTTGTCCATTTAAAAATACTCCTTTTTGGTCTGTACAGAGAGACTACACATTCTCTGACAATGACAGAGAGTGATAAACTTACGTGATCAGACTGGGAGTAGTAGATACTGATGAAAAAAAAACAGGGAAGTAAGGACTGAAGAGATTTGACGGGAATCTTATGTTTCACATTTATTCAAAGGTAGTACAACTCTTCTTCTATCCTTCTACCACTCAAAATCCAAAGGTTGCTTTGCATTTATCTATTAAGGGTAAGGTTTTTTTATGTCAGTCTATATTTATGATACCACAAAACCACGTACATTTTGTACTCGGAAGCAGGAGAAAGCATGCATGTGTTGTTACATGGTAACTATCTACAGAGAGGCCACTGCATCTCAGAAAACTCCAGTTAAAATATTTTTCCTATGAATAAGAGACTTGTTTGGAATGTTACAAGATAAACTTTTTAAAGAATGACCCTCTTCTCCCAAAAGCAGCAGTAAAATGTTCTTCCTAAATTCAGTTTCAAAATTCATGGAGTTTTCTTGTACTCATGATTGCTTTGGTTTTGGTACTTTTTAAGGGAAATAAATGGATCACACAGGAAAGGGATAAATACTAGAAAATTAAAGACAGAAGATACAAAACTGATGAAATAGATCTACAGGAGAGAAAATACAGATTGCGAAGAAAGAATTTAGTGCCAAGACTGTGAAAGGCTATAGAACTTGGTCTGAAAAGAGGGAAGAGACAAGAATCACAGTAAGGGACAGAAATAGTTGTGAAAACTGGGTGAACAGAAAAGCTTCAAAGTAGACAGAATTTGACAAGAGAAAAGAACTCAGGGAGGGGAAAACAAAAAAAAACCACAAACAGGAAAAGACATTTAAATTAACTGAGGTGGATAATGATGTATGAAAGGCAGAAAAGACAGACCAGAGGAAAGGCTCTTTATTTCTCCTGGACTGAGAAAAATATCAAAAAAAATACCCCTCTTTCAAAGGGAAGAGAAGTTGAAACCTCAAAGCAAAATTAAGTCATATAAAAGTCAGACAGCAAAATGACATTAAAAAAACCAAACCATCAACCACTTTCCTGAGCCAGGACAAAAAGCTTGAAGTTACATAATTAGAATGGCTCATAATCCAGGTGATAAGAAGAGAAATCCAGTTCATGAATAAGCATCTACAAGGGCAGAAGCTACAGGGATTCCAGCACCGAGGCGATACAGTGGCCACTGATCTCAGTCACCAGCGGGAAACTGCCCTAATACTTCTGTTCATCCTTGACGATCACACTAACAGCTGGTCAGAAACAAACCACTCCTTCTTAGGACAGCAAGCACATTAAATCCCAGAGAGTCCATCAAACACAGAAGATTCATGATTTTATCACATCATACTGTTTACTTTGAACTGTCAATTGGGCTGCTACATACCTGGACAGAACACTGCAAAATTAGATACCGGTTACTGTTATGGCCAGAGAAGGTATAGCCATTGTTAAGTTTTATGTTATAACTTAGTTTTCATTCTTCTATCTACTCTAAAACTTGACACTCTCAAATGTTCTAGCTCAGAATTTTTGTAGCTTGCATATGAACAGGACAAACATTGAAACTCAAGAGAGAAATATATCAAATAAGAACTAAACGAACAAAAGGAACAACCCACAACCGCAAACCTTCAATTTTAAGGACACCAAAGCAATCGGAAAGTATCAACAGCTATAGTGGGCTTACAATCGTTATTTTGCATCACTGGAACAATACCAAAAAAATGTTGAAAGGTACTTGTTTAAGATATAATCATCTATTTAGCTGGCTTATTATTACAGCATCAAAAGAGCAGCACTGCTGAAATTCTGCCATCTCCGGTTGTCTACCAACCCATTTGCTCAGAGACCACCAATCCCACTATAAGCACAGCCAAAGCAATCCCAGTTTCGAGCATGAAGAATTAGTTCAAACTCACATCTGGATTTACACAGCACATCTTTCTGGTTTCTACATACAAGTCTTACATATTTCAAGAAAGCATGGAAAAAAGAAGCAGGGTCTTGATATCCTCATGTTTGCACTTCAAGGGCTGCCCCACACTTTTGCCTCATTTTGCCCCTTACTCCTGTGTACACTGGACCACCAACCAGTGGGACAAAATGTCTTAAGCACTGATGACTAGAGTATTGAAAATAAACTAACTTACATAGCAGAAACAATCAGGTTAATTAGCCTACTAGTAAGAACTCCTGATGGCCGTGCCAGCCTCCCTCACATTTAGCAGTTGTTGTGTCCAATTTTGCTTTAATTATCCAAACTATTCCTTACTTTCAAGACTCTGCTCTAAAAGCAAGAGGATGCAAGCCCAGCTCTAATATCTGAACAGCTACTGAAGATAGATAAGATGTTGCAGCAGACAAAGCTAGAAAATGACAAGCGAAAGGGTTTATCACAGCATTCAATTCTGGTCTTACTCTCCAACAACCTATCACACGGGCTTTGAGTATGTTTACATGTGTGATGGCATTTTTACACTGCAAAATATTACAGAACTATAAGGTATGGAAAGGGGAGAAAACTCAAATTGATTCAAGCAAACGGAGTTGTTTCAAGCAAAGCTATAAAGAAGATAAATTACTACTATTCTGTTGCTTCCCATCTCCTCCATCTAGCCAGCAATATCAGCTCCGCTTACCTTGTCGGCTCCTCACTCCTCTTTGGTGCTCCCCGTGAGGCAGTGCCTGCACCCCGACTTACTCCTTTGGATGTTTCTCTGCCAGTAGCAGTTAGACAGCCACGCCAACACAGGGCCCTAGGAACACACTCACCCATCTTCTACCCCTAACTCACTCTCACAATCAGTTCTACGCTTGCACACCGAAGACAACAGGACCGAAATCCTAACTTGACTCCCAAAAGAACATAATCTCCAATTAAAGAAACCTGCGGCTTCTCCCAGAGGACGTGCACTGCAACTTTCCCTCTGAACGGACTGAACCCTGACAAGTAGTGCCCGAGTTCCCCCGCCTACACCTCACTTACACTTCCACTCAATACCTCCGCACCACGGGAGATAACTTTGAACTCTCACTGCCGTGTCAGCCCGGGCAACGAAGGGAAGGGCTGGGCGCTGCGGCGCACACAGAACAGGCAAAATAAAAACAGACCAGCCGGGGGGAGA